TGGCAAGAGGGGTCTGATTTTCTATTCAATAGCTCTGTAACCAAACAAAATTGAAGGCTATAAAAAGTGTAGTTTGTTTGAGCAATAACAATTTTATAGGGAGTATTTTACATTTTCGAGGGGTGATGGATAAAATAGGGATGATGACATGCTAAGACAAATTGTTTCACGTGGATCACACTAGTGGAAATTCAGGATTTTTTTATATATTTCCTTTGTAGAATTAAGAACTTAAAACTTGTGCACTATTAAAATATGGATTATTAGCTAAGATTTTATGCTATTCAAATTGATATAACATAAACAAAAAGTAGTTTAATAAAAGTTTGGATGTAAAACACTAAAACCTTGTGTCATGCACAATAAAGGGTACCTGGGGCGACAGGGTTAAGGCAATGAGAAAAATACAGAAGGTTCAAGTAATGTGACATCAAATTACAGCAGTTGAACTACACACACAACGTATGACTCTTACCGAGTAACGTAATAAAATTTGTCATAACCATTGCCTTTAAAATAGTTACTTTTAACATTCTTGTTATGAAAACTAAATAATCATATAATACTTGATCACTAAATGAACTAAATAATAACTCTTACACTAAATAGACTTGTATATCTAACATTAAGCCCTTCTTCAAGAAAAATATTTACAGTATATAAAGACTGTTATCAGTTCATATACAAAGTGTACTCATACAGTCTGCACCAAAATTTGCAGTTCCCTCATGATTCTTGCACTGTAAAGTTTGCACCTCTGGATGTATGCAAGTGGTTGATGGTCTATCTGGATGATGAACTCCTTCCCATAGAGTTAGTTCTGGAACTTCCAGATGGCAAATATGATGGCCAAACACTCATTCAATCACAGAATAGTTCTTTTCACTACTCAATAGCTTTTTACATACGTACATTACCAGAAACAGTCTGTCTTCTTGTTCTTGTAGGAGTACTGCTCCAGTTCCAATGTTTGAAGCATTGGCCTGAATGATAAATGGTTTGTTGAAATCTGGCATTCTAAGTATTGGAGAACTACCCAACATGTTCTTTAACTTCTGGAATTTGATCCGCTGTGGTTGTTCCCACTTCACCTTGTTGGGTAGGCCTTTCTTGGTCAGATTAGTCAATGATGCAACAATTTCTGCATAGTTTGAGATGAACTTCCTGTAGTATCCCACTAACCCCAGGAAGGATCTGACTTGCTGCTTAGTCACTACATTGGTCAATCTGTGCTGGAGTTCTTTGAACACAAAGTAGGTGATCGACGGATGACCAAGGAAAAGGAAAAGATGCACCAACTCCGACACTCATCTGAAGAGCTCTCTAAGTTTCTTTAGGTAGTCTTCCCATCTGGCTGTGTGTGTGTCAGAATTTCATCCATGTAGTGCTCAATGTTGGTGGTGTTGTATAACATCCTTCTCATCATGTGGTTGAATGTTGCTGCTGAGCTGACTAACCCAAATGGCATTGTCTTAAATTGGTAACATCCGTTTGGTGTCACAAATGCTTCCTTCTCTTTAGAACCTGTCTCCATCAGGATCTTCCAATAACCTTTACTGAGGTTGATCTTTGAAAAGGAGCTGGCCCTCTTAGTTTTGCCATGATAGCCTCTTGGTAGCCCATAGGTTCGGAGTCTAACTTCGTCACAAGGTTCAGCTTCCGGAAGTCTATGCAAAAGCAGTTTGAGCTATCACCCTTCTTCATGGTTACCATGGTGAAAAATAGGCTGAATTTGAAGGCTCAATGTTTTCAGTTTCTAACAATGCCTCAACTTCCTCCTAAATCAGGTCTCTCATAACATGAGCATCTGATTGGGCTTCACTTTGACTGGATCCCTGATCACGGTCTTAATACTGTGTTGCACAAGGTATGTCTTACATGGTCTATCCGTGAAGACATCCGCATACTTGCATAGTAGGTCTCGTAGTTCTTTCTTCTGCTTGCCAGTCAGTTCTTCACTGATATTGACATATTTGTATGTATGTCTCCTCTCCAACCAGTGGTCTTAGGTCTGGTAGGTCTTCAGTTTCTATGACAAAGTCACTGCCTTCTGGTTCGACATCTATGAAAGCCATGCCTGCAGCATCCATCTTTGCCTCAATAGCTGTACCTGTTTGGTCTTCTTCCCTCTTGAAGTACCTGTTCAACAGATTGGCATAATAGATCATTCATATTCACTTTATAATCCATTCTGTTGAGAACTTCCTATACTTTAAAAGGTCTTTTCCACTGCAGGGGGAATTTGTTGTTGTCTGTGGGCAGCAGAACTAAGACCTTCTTACTGCATACTGAGTGACAATGCCCACTGCTGCCAGGTTTTGGACTGGAGATGCACCCCTATGTTTGCGGTCTCTCATCCTACCATTTGCTGAATGTCGGTTCCTGGAGGATCTGGTGTTGGCTGTAGCTGGACGTAGCACATTTTTCTGCTTGTGCACGACCGAGTATCCTCCTCTTTCTACCATAAATTGAAAGTACCATACCCATTGCCACCAGGTTTTGGACTGGAAATGTCATCCCGCTGGGGCTTTCCACCATCCATTAGATGTCGGTTCCCAGTGGATATGATGTTGGTTGTTTTGGATATGCATGCAGGTGGAGATGGATTTTGGTACGGGAGCTTAACTACACTACTAATTCCCATTTCGAGATGAAAAGGTAAGTGATCCTCTACCTACTGTGAATCTGATGTACCATTCCAGATACCACCTGGTATTGGATGAGGTCAACCTACCAATATGATCTGTTCTGCCCCAGCCACTTGACACTCAGGGTCTCATTAACTGGTCATACATATTCTGGGATTCCTTCCTGTTTTTCTGTTTGTGACACAGTCATAATAGAGTGAAGAGTATACCTGGAACATATGTGGTTCAGTCTCCCGCTGAGGTGTGATGTTTTCTCTTTTTGCTCCATACCTCCTGGTCTTTATTTGGGTACATTCTAAAGGGGGGATCTTTTTTTTATCTGCCCTCCACCAGTTCATTGTGGGATTCTAGCTATTTTGTGAGAGGAGGTAAGATATCGTATTGGAAGTTAGCATTTTCCTACACTGAAAATGTACATTCCAAAGAACATATAATTGTTTGTATAGTCGATCAAAACTTTTCAAAATATTTCATAAACATGATACAAGTATTTAAATGAGTTTTGGACAATTTACTTTTAGTTAGTCACAAGAAGACATCAGAAGTTATATTAAACTGATAGTTCATGATTTGTTTAAATTTGGAAAGTAAAAATATTTTAGCTCTCAGACTGTGCAATGTACAGTCGCTAGTATACAGTACTAAACCCAATAGACATCTATAGTCCAATAGCTTTTAATAAAAATGTATATCTTCTATAATGAGAAATTATTGAGAATTGCTTTAAAATGTTAAGCTTTATATTAAAATGAATTAAAAGATAGTGAGTAGAATTAGCTTCTTTCTCACTCTATATATCACATTAAGCACAGACGAAAAATGTTTGTCTTATTTAGACTGAAAGATCTTTTTAAGCATGATTTTACATTTTGATCATTACAGTTTTTTTTAGTTACCATCACTAATACCTTGAATGTGCAAAAATGATCTTTTTTCATATATTTCCCTTATTTAAGTTCAGTATAGAAGAAAGTGTGAAGTTTATTTTAAGTTGCTTATAATACTGAAGTTCTGTATGCTGTATATCAGAATGTATGATATAGATCTCTCAGTAATTGTATTATTGCCATAGTTTTGGATTTCACTTGATTTTAATCTTTGAGCTATCATGAACAGTTGGATAATTAATGAGAATTTCTTTTATTTTAATGATTGAGCTATCATGAACAGTTGGATAATGAATGAGACAGGAAATTTTCCAAAAGTAATTTACATGCATATAGTTACTCACATATCCATATATAAATTTTAATAAAAAACTAATTATTTCCACATCTATGATATGTGTAAAATAAACTAATGATATAATGCCAATATAATTTTATTCACCATTAGATGTTTGTTTCAGTTCATTATAACTAATTGATTAAAGGTTAAGTCAAAATATGTTCTGACCATGAACTGGTTTTGACAAATTTTCCATATATCAGTGGAAATCAAAAGAGTACAGACTTCTCTGCATAACAGTTTCTCGCCAAACTTTGTTATTAGTAAACATTACCAAATCTGTTGAGGAAAACAGCTTTATCTGGAAACAACAGTACAAATATTTGTTGAGGTATTTATTTTTTTAACAACTAGTTATAAGATATTACTGTAATATGTAAATTACGTTATAAAACAAAAAAGTTGTAACATGTAACAATATTAACATGTGGTGTTTAGTTACTGAAGAAGTTTTTTGTTACTTTATAGGACTACAATTTGGACGATGCTGAAGCCATGGAGAAAGCTCTAGAAGCTTCTTTAACAGAATTTTAGATGTCTTAACCCATTCACTGTGGCTGGGATGTATATTTCCAAGTGTTCCCACTCCCTCAAACTGTGACAAATGTTTCCCATTGTTAATGCTGTTTATGCCTTCCTCTGCTGGGTCCAGGTTCATCATCTTGACTATCATCATCAGATAGAGAGCTAGTATCCTCTTGTCTCATTGCCTCTTCATCATCACGCATTTGAACACCACTTAACTCATTTTCACTATCTTCTAAGCTATATGAGTCAAGCGCATCAAGCATATTAACATAGTAACTAGGTTACTACTCACCTCTATAGTGATGTGGATATGGTTGGCATGCAGTTGTCGTACATTCCACTTAGGCATCTTGTTGGTTACTGAATGGAAAACATTGAGGGGATCCATATATCAACATTTGGTGGGCTGACAATAAACACTTTCCAACTTATTTTATTCCCATACCTCATGCACAGTAATTTTGAATGACGATGGGAAACAGTTGTCACAGTTGCAGTGTGAGGGGGTGGGTGTACTGGGAAATATACGTCCCAGCTGCAGTGAAAGGGTTAAAGATGATCTGTAAATATCTCTTGAAAGTTTGTTTAGTTATGGTATTGGTACGCTTGACTGTTGCCTTTGTTCTTTTAAAGATATAAACAAATGTTTTGAAAGTTTTTTTATCTTTTTGTAGACTACCCTCATTGTAATATTGGATTGTTAAATATATACATACATATATTTGTCATTTTGAGTATCTAACCCATGTGAATATTTAAAAGTGCATATAATTTTTTCAATCATTGTTTTATTAAACTTTTAATTTGAGAAAATGAATTTATTACACTTAGTTTTTGAGGGATACAATATGAAAATTATAAAGGATTTTATATCTAGAAAATAAACTTGATGTAGATGAGGAATATAGAATGAGAGTACAATGTATAAGATTATAAGAACACATTCACATCCTTTCATCTTTCAGTGATATTCTGCATTAAAATAAGTTCTGTCCTTGTGAAGTAGAAGCTGTATTATTGCTGTATGGATGAAATTCTCAAGCCCATCTTAATTTATACACTTTGTTTTGTAAGTATATGGGGCTTTAAGCAACCTGAAGTTAAAAGAAATCCTTAAGTAAATATTTCTTGGTCCTCTATCCTTCAGTAAACTTGTTGCCATCTTTCAGATTTTGTCTAGAAGCCACTTTAAATGCAGTGCTATAATCCTGGCCAAACCAAAGAACCTATTTGTCTTAGAAACTCTCTAACCTGAAATATTTTTATATGTGCACAATCAATAAGCTAATTTTATTTGATAGTTGAAATATTTAATTCTGTTTGATTTTTATCAATTGCAAAATTTTGTATCCATTTCAAACTTGGCCAATTTAGTCTTTTATTTTAAAAATAAACTTTTTTCCTTCTTTTTTTTATAGCCTTTTATTTTGTCTTTATGTTACTGGTATAACTAAACAACTTTCTAGAATTTTGTATAAAGCTGAGGAAGAACTTGGATGAATATTTAGCAGTAGGTGATATGGAATCTTAACATAAGGACAACAAGGGACAGTTTGGTCCTTGAAGGCTGTCCTTGTAATCAACATGTGAGGAAAGTAAAAAATTTGAACTCACACTATTATTTTTAGAGAATCGTCAATTATGTTTTTAAACTCTTATAATGTTCTGGCTTCTACTACCAATAGCAACTAATTCCATAAGTTAATCACCCTGTTAAAAAAATAAAACTTTATTTTTACAGATCTTAAACTTGTGTCCTCTTGTTTTATTATTTTCAGAACATAGCACAAATAAATCAGAAGCCTTTAGTCCTGCTGATTCCCTGTATAATCTTGTAAATTTCAGTTAGATAATCTTTTACCCTTCTTTTCTGAAGAGAAAATAAGTTAGATCTTAACCAGCCTATCCTTGTAAGATAAATATTCTAGTAGCCTCCTCTGAATCCTTTTCAATAAATATGGACCATCATACTGTAACTCAGCTAGTAAAACTAAATCTTATGAGTAGTAGATTATGGTTTATTTTATGAAATATATTGGGTGAAGTTGTAAAAGGTAATAAATTTGTTTCAGTGTTACTGTTAGTAAATTTGAGCTCACACATGTGTCTACTGCTTTGTTAATTTTAAATATCATACAGTATTACAGAAGTTATTAGAACAATCAAAATATTATGCTAAATATATGTAGTATTTTTATGCAAATTGTAAAAATACATTCAAGAAAGAAGATTTTGTGTACATTTTTACCTAATATCAAACTTAATTTTTATTGTGTTTCTTATTAACTTTATAAAGGTGATAATGTTTTACACTTTAATGTATTCAGCACAATTTTAACTGTTAGATTAAGTTGATAATTAGTACAGTTTTGGAAAAAGTTGTATTTTTCACTTATTCATATGATACACAGTTGTTTTATGCTGAAAATAATTTTTGGGAAAATTGATTTATTTCACCTGTGCTTCAATGCTTGCAACTAAATAATCCTGACTAGTTAAATTTTAGTGTAATCGATTAAGTTACATATCCACTTATCTTCAATTTCTGACACTTTTCATAAACTTTTTACAAATGAAAGACATGAATTTTTAAGTTGTCCTTAAGAATTAGCATAAGTGACAACAGCATTTCAGTTACATTTTTAAATTGAATAGTTTCAAAACCAAATGAAATTCACAGTAAAATTATGAACCTTGAAAGTTAAACCTAAAATTTTGATAATTTACAGTTTTCATTGACATTATAGTCAGTGAAAAGGCAATGGATGAGAGAGAAATGAGGAATCTGCATTTTAGCACTACCTTAACATCTTTCGCTGTCATCACAATATTACGATATTTAACGTAAAATTAGAAAGTGACATTTCTCCAAAATTACCTAAAACTTTTAAGTTGTTATAATATAAACCCCAGAATAAAATTCTTAACCCTTTTAGCCTGAAAATTAATAAAAATATGACATTCTTTAGCTGAAAAACAGCAAATTTTATATTTGTCTTTGAAACTTAAGAGAATAACAAACTACCACCAGAAGACTTGTTCGTTTTTCGGATATATACACAAGGCTATTCAAGGACTATATGTGTTGGCCATCCTAATTTTGAAGTGATAGACTAGAGTAGTAGTTTCAGGGTCGTGTCCACTGCCACCCTTGTGTTTTTGTATGTTAAAGTTCGAAGTATGTATTAGGTCGTCAAGAAATTAATGTCGCGTTTTGGAACACTTTCATTAATCACCCCCACAAAAACGTACATCACGTATGATAGTTAAACGAACCGCCTAAACGTCAAGTTAGTGTAGCCTATATAATGTGTAAAGTTTAGTATACTTTAATCCCTTATAGTGATGGCACACGACGAGACGCACATTGGACATGTAATGCTGTTTGAATAGAAAAAGGGGGAAAAAAATGCCCCTGTAGCCACAAAGAATATCAAAGAGGTTTATAGAAATGTTTTGAACGTTCTTAAGTGTCAATGATGGTTCAGCAAATTTCGTTCAGGTGACATTAGCCTTAAAAACTGTGATGGCAAAGGCCGACATGTTGGAATTGATATTGATGCTCTGAAGACGCTTGTTGAGTCTAACCCAAGGCAACACACTCGTGAAATGGCCCTGAAATTGCATGTCTCTAAAAAAACAATTAAGGAATATGAGAAAACTCCTTAAAGAAGGTGTTTGGGAGTCTCATGAATGATCTGATGACCATCGTTTACAAAGTATGAACGTTGCTTCGTTTCTTCTGGCGCGTAATATGCGTGAACCATTTTTGGACAGAATTGTGATGAAAAATGTATTCTCTATGTGAATATTAAACGCCAAAAACAATGGCTCAGTCCTAGACAAAAACCACTTTCGACCTCAAAACCTGGACTCCATCAGCAGAGAGTGATGATTTGCATTTGATGGGATATCAAAGGAGTAATTCATTTCGAACTCCTCAATCCACAGCGAATTCTCAATGCAGTCTTCTATAGTCAGCAACTAGAACGTTTAAATCAAGCTGTTCATCAGAAACGCCCTTCACTCGTCAATCGGAAAGGTGTTCTTCTTCACGATGATGCACGTCCACATATGGCACGTTTGACGCAATACAAGATTATAGAGTTGGGTTGGGAAGTTCTTAATCTTAATGGGAAAACGTATGCAAATGTGGAAGGTGTTAATGAGGACATCGACATGTTTTTTTGCTTCAAAGCCAAGTGATTTCTTTAATCAGGGATTAACAACCTTATTGTAAGATGGAAAAGCATAATCGATAAAAATCGATTTAATAAATGTTTTGTTTTATATATAAGTTGTTCGGTTTTTTCATTGAATTAGACCCAACAAGCGTCTTCAGAGCATCAATATCAATTCCAACATGTTGGCCCCTGCCAACACTGTTTCTAAGACTAAAGTTACCTGAACGAAATTTGCTAAACCATCGTTGACACGAACGTTCAAAACATTTCCATAAACTTCTTTGTGGCTACGGAGGCGTTGTATCCCTTCTTGTATTCAAGCAGCATTACATGTCGAATGTGTGTCTAGTCATGTGCCATCACTATAAGGGATTAAAGTATACTAAACTTTACACATTTTATAGGCTACACTAGCGTGATGTTTAGGCGGTTTGTTTAACTATCATACGTGATGTACGTTTTTTGTGGGGTGGTTAATGAAAGTGTTCCAAAATGCGACATTAATTTTTTGACGACCTAATATTTTTCTACAAGGTACACTCGCTGGGACTAACAGCTCAAGTGTAGCACGAGCTTAATGTAACTTGGTTAGTGTAACATTTGCTTCATGTTGCCGCGTATTTTGACACTTCTTATGGCGGGAATTTTAAAAATCACGGTCCAAAAGACAATACAATTTAATTATAAACAGTTGTATAAGATTAATAATTTTTAAACTGTTTAGTGTAAATAAATGTTTCCTGCTACAATTTGAAGTAATTCTGGAAAGAAAAACTGGTAATTTTCATTTATTTGGTATTTTTTATGGTGGTTACGAGGTCGGTCAAATTGATATATCTGTATTAAGAAAGAATAGAACAAATAACAGATAAAATATCAAGATTTATCGAAAAAAAGAGGGAGTTAAACTGACATCCGGATCGTTAGTAGGGACCCCTCACCGCTTGTGGCCATGGTTATTACAGCCCTGGATGAACTTTCCATTTATGGCTGCATTGTGAAGTTCTAGATATATATATATAATGTTTTTGATGAATATGTTACAGCTTTTGTTTCTGTGTTCCGTGATTCTAGATACGTATAAAATATTTCTGATGAATGCTACTGTTTATCTGCATGATGAATTTTACAGTTTTTATTTCGACATCAAGAAGGTCTAAATATTTTTATTCTGCTGGATGGGATCCTTTCTAATTTAATTGTATGACAAATTAAACAATTTTCCAACATTAAATATTTGATGAATGTGTAAGAGTAGTTTAAAGAACACAAACTCGTGTAATCCACGATCTAATTGAATTGTGTTTTGACTCTCTATATAGAATGTGTCTTGTATTACAGAACATCCATGCAATAGATACAAATAAAAATACCATAGTAAAAAATAATTTTCCTTTCTGTGAATACAATTAGATAAAGAAAAAAATCAATTCTTTGTTAAGAATATGTCTCATTTTTTTGTTACAAATTTGACATAAGAGCCAGTAAAAGATTAAATTATATTCAATGTATGCCAAGTATTGAATCTAAGCAAAGCATCATTTTATATATTTTTTAACAATAATGAATAAAATCCAATGGTTGTTTACATTAGAAGAATGTCATTTGTCATCATATTGGCTTGTGCCTATTTAAGGAAACCTTACGTTTTTCGTCCATAAAATAAGTTGGAATGATTAGGATCTTTACAAATGACTGCACAAACTTATTTGATAATTGGTTGCCACTGTTATAAAAGAATCAGTGATAATATTTTATCTACTTTACGGGTTTTTAGTGATTTTATGTCATTTAAGCGAATAGGGATACTGTGGTATATTCGGGTGAAATTGAATTACGGTTAAAGTATAGGATAGGTCCACTTAATAACTGGAAATTTGATAAAGATACCAATTACAGAGTAGTACTACACCTTGTATTGGCTGAATTGATGTAAAATGATATTGGACACGAAGTGCAAAACGAAATCCACAATATTATATATTCAACACTTGTTTGTAAAACACGCTGGACCATTGCTCTGCCTGGATGATGCTTATGCTGCTGGATCTTATGCGGTAAAACCTCTAAAGATTGGTGTTTTAGGCTGATCAAATGCATTCTTATTAAATCATTTCCAGCAGACTCTGGAAAAGAACAAATTAAATATGGCCATTCTCATTATAAAATAGGTGGGACAGTAATCTCAAAATATAAGCTGAATAAACGTTGAAGGACCTGTTGACATTCTTACATAACGTGCCATATTATCCACTTCTGAGAAAAACAAAGGAACAAAATTAATTTGAAACGAGGCCCAATTATCGGCTTTATATTATGTGAAATCTCCACATATTCAGAACAAAGAGTAAATTTAGAATAAATAATGTTACAAAAAGATATAAATGCGTGGTATATTCCCTCATCATAATACTTCCCACTGTAGTTACAACATGTATCACCATCATACGTTAACTCTGGGAAGGGTATGTCTTTAGTATTAACCCAGATCGACAGTCTTGTGAATAATTACATTTGTTAGTGTCAATTTAAGCCAGATTTGACTTAGTTAATATTTAGTAATGA